CCAGCAGAGTTTTTCTTTTGTCAGCATTTCTATCTCAGTTCCTCCATGTTTAAAATAAGTGCAGGAACTTGATGCCTGAGCTAGTTTTATCCTGATATCTGCTTTGTCCAGGGGAAAATGGAAGGGTGAGACTATTGATGTGGTAATTTTGAGGGTCTGTGGGCCTGCTAAACTTCGCCTCATTCTGGCCATGCATGGTAGCACACACCTGTAATTCCAGCACTCGGGGTGGAGACACATGTGTCAAGATCATACTCAACAACATAATTAGTTTGAGGCCAGCCCGGGCTACATGAAACCCTGTCTCAAACACAAGACAAAACAAAAGCCAGCCATTTTTTTGGGGGGGGGAAGCTCAGCAAGTTACTTGTAATGAAGGGACCAGCCCCCCATTTCGGCAGCCATGACAGTAACACATGCTTGCCTTGGTCACTTAGAGGTCAGACGCCTGCCTCGGACAAGGAACCAATCAGAAGTTAGCTGGTGGCGCTATGCTTTACGACCCTGGGTGTGCTTTACAGACAAGCGCACAGCAATGATGCACAGAGCATAGCAACCAACCTGGGAGGGTCTATGGGCCATAACAACCAGTTGGCCAATCAACACAGGGCAAGCCCTCCAAGCCTGGAGGCACACCAATCGTGAGCCTCTGCGTACCCCTAGACACTCCCTTTACGCTGCCCTATGAGATCTCTCGGGGAGCCCCTAGGAGCTCTCTTTTGCGAGCCATCTGCCATGGCGGGTGGGTGAAAGACCCGAGCTAACATGGGGTTAGCTTGTTTAAAAAAAAAAAAAAAAAAAAGACATGCAGTTTGCAGCAAGCTCTCGAATCCGCCTGGTGATTGGAGTGACCGAGCTCGTGGCCTGGGACCCCGGATACCTGAGTTTTCTGGGGGTCTAACAGTAAGAGTGCTAACAGTCATACTTTTTATCTGACAAAGTACCTGCTTACTCGCTCTTCTCTTGCCATGAGGCGAAACCATGACCAGGGTCTTATAAGAGAGAAGCAATTAATTGGGGCTTGCTTATAATTTCAGAGCATTAGTCCATGACTGTCATGGTGAAAAGTGTGATGACAGGCCAGCATGGTGCTGGAGCAGTAGCTGAGAGCTCACATCCTGATCTGCAGACAGGAGGGGTTGGGGAGAGAAGAAGGGAGAGGGAGAGGGAGAGACTGGTCCTGGGCCTGGCTGCCATGGGCTTTTGAAACCTCAAAGTTTTGAAACCTCAGTGACACGCCTCCTCCAATAAGGCCAGTCCTTCTAATCCTTTCCAAAACACAGGAGCCTATGGGGACATTCTCGTTCAAACACCACAGCCCTGGACACACTTGAAACCTAGGCAGAATTCTAAGCTGAGATGAGAGTAAATAAATTACACTCACATAGCTGGAGACATGACTGAAAAAAAAAAACAAAAACATAGCATAGGAGAATACATACAAACCATTTTATGAAGCTCAGAGACCAAAACAAAGTTACAAAAAAGAAGCGACCGTGGGTAGCCAACTTATTTTTTAAAGTAGGGAAGGAAGGAGGAGGGCTGGCAAGATGGCTCAGCGGGTAAAGATGCTTGCTGCTTAGCCTGACAACTGAGTTCAATCCCCAGGTCCACATGATAGAAGGAAAGAATGCCCACACATTGTCCTCTGACTTCCACATGTGCCATGGCACACACAACCTCATACTGAATACAAATAAGTAATAAATGTAATAAAGTGTTTTACAGTAGGGATAAACCACCAAATGTAAAGTGCGTACAGGTCAGGAAGTTGTAGGTCAGAGATAACAAGAGTGATAGTTTGGGTGTGTGCTTACTTATTTGTTTGTTTGTTTATTACCTTCCAATTCCAGTTCCTCCACTCTGGCTGTTTTAGGCTTCATTAACTCTTATGAATGCTACCTATATTAATTTGCATACTTAGCCTTGTGTAAAATAGTTGAGGAACAATTGAAATGCTGCAAGCCTGCCATTGAAGACCATGTGTGAATGCTTGCTAGGACTATGGCCTTTGGAGACACTGGCAGCCCTCCCCTCACCACCATCAGAGGGTTTGGGCTCCCAGGGCTCTGGAGTCACCACTGAGGGTACTGTGGGAACTCTGCCACAGGGGCTGCATTTCTCACAGGTGTGGCTCTCTGGTTCCCAGGCATGTTGGAACTTTGGATGCTGGATGCCAGAGGGAGGGCTTCCTTACTCTCCTCAAACTCACCCGGCTACAAGGGGACAAGCTGCTGTTTTCTTTAAATCTAGTCTAATTTTATCTTATTGAGACAAGGTCAGAGACTTTGAAACCCTGGTTGTCCTGGAATTCACAGAGACCCACTTTGCCTCTATTAAGATTAAAGGTTAAACTGGGTGGTGTGGCCCAGGCCTTTAATCCCAGCACTCTGGAGGTAGAGGCAGGCGGATCTCTGATTCCCGGATAGCTATGGATAAAAAGAGAAAAAACCCTGTCTCAGAAGCCAGAAGAAGAAAGAGGAGGGGGGATGAGGGGGGAGGAGGAGGAAAAAGATTATTATTAGTATTAAAGGTGTTCACCACACCTATTTCTTTAAAATAATTCATTTTATTTTTATTTATACGTACATGCCCATATAAGCATGTGCCATGTATGTATGGGGGGAGGGGTTCTTCTGGGACTAGCTAGAGTTATGGGCAGTTCTGAGCTGGGAGAACTTGGGTCCTCACTCTTAACCACACTGAGCCACCTCTCCAGCCCCTGCCAATTTTTTTTTTCCTCACTCAAAGTGCAAGACTCTGGAGGTAAAGAGAGAAAAACAGAGTGACTGCCATTCTGGTGTTGCTCCTACCCCGCCATCCTCCAGGTAGTAAAGCGGGAAGGAGGAATGAAGGACATCCATGTAGGCAGGCTGAAGGCCTGCTTCTCTGATGCAGGGTGCCTGAACATGGCCAGTGGCTGCTGGGGACAGTCAGGTTCCTCTGGTTTGACAGTTGTAGTCTATTTGTTCCTCTGAGGACCACTGAGGGTGGGTGGGAGAAAGACAGGCCAAGCAAGAAATCTTTGGAGGTTTATTTGTGTCTATCCTCAGTGTCAGGAACACATGTAGGGACATGAGGCCGGGCACTCAGGCAGCAGCTGGCTTTTCTGAATCCATGGCCAGATGTGTTGCTTCCCCCTTGCTGGTATGACGTTAGATGTTTGATTTGAAGAGTCACATTGCCTAATCTGAAAAGGCCATGTTCCCTAGATTACATTTCTCCAGCCAGTGGGATTAATTTATACAAGGCACTTGGGCCCATTTTTATCTTAGACTCTGTGAGTCCTTAATCTGAACTAAGAAATGAATGGATAGAGACTCCCAGGCTGGCCTTAAACTTTTGGTGGTCTCCCTGCCACAGGCTCCCAAATGTGGGGTTTGCAGACATGAATCACTGTGCCTGCCTTAGTCAGTGTTCTTGAATTTTTAATCTCTTCTTTCCTTGAGTGTGTAGTCCATGACTTTTTTTTTCAGGGAATGAAGAATATATTGTTAGTTTTTACTTCCCAGCTTGGTTCCTAGAATAAAGACAGCTGTGCCCAGATGTTTACAAGATAGGTGGGTATTTAGAGTCCTGGTCAGAGCAGAGTCCAAAGCCTCAGCTGTCTTCTCCTTGCTCATAGTAATTCTCTATTTTGGTTACCGCCTATAAAATGGGCCCGTGTGTACCCGGTGACACTGAGACTTCTTGTGCATTTGTGCATGCTGGGAGAAAATGGCATTCATCCGTAGGTGAATTCATTTGTTCACTGTGCATTTTGTCAGTTGCAAAAGGGTGACTGTCATGTGCCAGGCACCCAGTCTAGACACTGAGATAAAAATAGGGCACTTGTTTTTGTGGTGTCTGAAGACTTTTTTTTTTTTTAAGTTAGGGAGTGGTTTTCTTTTATTTATCTAGTGTGTGTGTGTGTGGGGGGGTTCTTTTTTGTTTGTTTGTTTGTTTTGAGACAGCATTTCTCTGTGTAGTCCTGGCTCTCCTGGAACTCAATCGGTAGGCCAGGCTGGCCTTGAACTCAGAGATCTGCCTCCCTCTGCCTTTTGAGTGCTAGGATTAAAGACAGGCAACCCTGCTGCCTGGCTTATTTTAAATGTTTATTTAATAGTAAACGGTAAATAATAATATTATTGTGGTGTGTGTGTGTGTGTGTGTATGCCATAGCACACATGTGCTCAGAGAACAACTTTTGGGAGTTGGTTCTTTTTGTCCAACTCAGGTCCTTGAGCTTGCATGGGAAGCATTTGTACCTGCAAGCTATCTTGCTATCTCTGTGGTAAAGTCTTTCAGTAAAGACAGATTTAGACTTGGTTGTGTGACTCTGTGCAATGGTGACGTAGTGGTGAGTTGACACAAATATAGGCTTGAATCCAGCTGCGAATAGAGAGTACCACTTAGAAAAGGGTGTTGAGGCCGAGACCTGAAATACATATGATGTTCTGCTGTGGGGATGGCATGGGGGAAGGAAAGTGTTAGGACCCAGGCAGAGCATTACAGAGAGAGGGAGGCTCTGGACCTTCCCAGTGGCCAGGAATAGGTGGACAGTGCCCTGGGCCTATGGAGCATCCGGATCTTCATTCTGTGGCCAGGGTCAGGTCCTCATTTGTTTGTTTTCTTTCTTATTTAAGACAAGGTCTCACAATGTGGCTCTGACAGACTCAGAACTTGTTATGTAGACCAATTTGACCTCAGCCTTGAACTCAGAGATCTGCCTGCCTCCGCCTCTCAAGTGCTGGGATCAAAGTCATGAGCTACCATACGTCTCCTTAAAGGGTTTTCTAATCCAGGGAGCTGGGTTGCTGGATCATGGCTTGAGAAGGTGCACTCTAGCAGACAGCTGGGTGGTCTGGGAGGCTTCTGGAGGCCAGGCAGATGTGATGTATGTAGGCTGGACCAAGGAAGGACTCCAGAGGTATTACCATGGAGGCCTTTGATTTCCCCAAATCATAAGCAAACCCCATTTTCAGGTTGCTGTGGCTCACTCTGTGTGTTTTCTTCCCCAGAGGTGGCAAATGATACGGTGACTAGCCTGCCCGGGGCCACCGTCACCCTAATCTGCCCTGGGAAGGAAGCAGAAGGCGATGTCACCATTCAGTGGGTGTACTCTGGCTCACAACACAGACAGTGGACCACCAAGGGGAACACACTGCTTCTGAGGGCCGTGCAGCTCGATGACACTGGGAACTATTTATGCTTCCTGGATAACCACCTGCTTGGGACTGTGCCTTTGCTGGTGGATGGTGAGTTGTGTCCTCAGTGTCCTTGGAATTGACTCCAAGGGCAGCTCCTATGTCCTTAAACATGTCCCTGCATTCCAGAGACGTTCCCCCAATTTATTGTTGGGTTTTGGCTCAAGAGTTTTGGGAAAGGGGCCACTGCTCTACATGTGAGATGAGGGCATGTGGCTGGTGGTGGAAGCTATCTGGCCAAGCAGCAGATTTAACACCACTGAACTTATAGCCAGGCATCCGGGCTTAACTTCTGCTACATCCCTCAGATTCCTCTGGCAGAATGAAGTGAACTTTGTCATGTTTGTGTGGACTGTGCAAAGATTAAATGTTTGAGCATGAAAATTCTGCCCCGCACACATGAACCTCTCAGATGGCACACCCTGAGATTATCAGGTTAAGGTTTCCCTCAGCTCCAAGGAAGACTGTGTGCAAGCCCTACTCATTCTTCCTCGCAGCTCATGTCCTTCCAGTTTTCCTGTTATGTCAAAATCAGTTAATTTCAGGTGAGGAAACTGAAGAGAGACGGACTGGGTCTGTGTGAGGCCAAGGGCGCTAGTTTTGTATCATCTTCTCAACCCTGTAGAGCTGCAGCTCTCTGCCCTCCTAATGCTGTGCCCGTGGTGACCCAACCAGAGATTATTTCATTGCTACTTCATAACTGTAGTTTTGCTACTGTTATGAATTGTAATGTACTTATTTTTGGAGCTAGAGGATTGTCAGAGTGGTCACAACCCACTGCTTTAGACAGAAGCCCAAAAGGTGTCAATGCCTCTTCCCTTGCTGGGGGTCTGCTGGCCAGTGTGTCCCTGGGGAGTGTGTCATTGCACTCACGGCTCCATGCTGAACCAAGTTCCTTCTGCTGGGAAGAGTGATGTGCCCAGGGAAGCAGCGGCGGCGTCCGTCATCCTGATGAGTTCTCTTTCAGTTCCTCCAGAGGAGCCTAAGCTCTCCTGCTTCCGGAAGAACCCCCTTGTAAGTGCCACTTGTGAGTGGCATCCAAGCAACACCCCCTCTCCAACGACCAAGGCTGTGCTGTTTGGAAAGAAAATGTAAGTGATGGGCGGGGCTGAGTGTTCAGGGTCAGTTGCTGCTCATGGGGCCCCAGAGTTGTGGGAACAGGGTTGGAGGGCTGCAAGCAACTGTTAGACTGACTGGACAGGGGCCATTTTTTCCCCTTTTTACGTTTATTTTACTTTGTGCATATGAATGTTTTGCCTATGTGCATGTACTACACATGCCTATCTGGAGCTGGGGTTATGGGTGGTTGTGAGACACCACGTGGGTCCTTTGCAAGAGCAACAAGTGCCTTTAACCACAGAGCGCTCTCTCCAACCCCAGGACCAGTGTTTTATCGGTAGAAATTATCCCAAATCTGTCACATGACCTATGGAAGGTCTTGTCTTTGATCCTCAGTTACTCCAAAAAATTTTAAAAATAAATAAGCAAAAAGAATTCCTCTGGCATAAAGGAGCTGAGCCCCATGCTGGACATGTTGCTAATGCAGCTTGGCTAACTCTACGGCTATGGGAAATGGGCGCTGGGTTCAATGAGGTTGATGAGTTTCCTTCAGGTCATCTAGCTAGGAAGTGTCTACTCGGTGAGGAAGAGAACCAATCCCAGGATGGGCTGCCCAATTTCCAATTCAATGCCTTGACCCTGTGAGCATTGCAAAGGCAGGAAACAGGGAGTGGTCATGGTGGGGGTGGGGGGGTGAGGTACAACCCATCCAGGCATGAAGTAGGGACTGGGGTAACTTCAGCCAGGGAGGCAGAGGAAGTGTGACAAGCTAGAGACAAACTGTAGTCTCCATCCCCGAGCCAAGTCTACTTTGTTTTTTGGGGGGGTGGGTTTCGAGACAGGGTTTCTCTGTGGCTTTGGAGGTTGTCCTGGAACTTGCTCTGTAGATCAGGCTGGCCTTGAACTCAGAGATCCACCTGCCTCTGCCTCCTGAGTGCACCACCACTGCCCAGTCAGGCCAAGTCTATTAAGCCCAGGTATTTGTAATAAAGTTTGAGTGGTCAGAGTATGGTGGTCCTCCTCGTTGGTTCTTTCTGTGGTTTAGTTACCGTCAGTCAACCATGGCCCCAGACTATTAGGTGGACAAAACAAACACATGTTTTAAGTTGTGCCATTCTCAGCATCCTTAGGAAATCCCATGCGGTCCTGCCCAGGCTACCTGTGCTGTTTGCACAGAACTCTTAGTCATCTGGTGGTCGGTGTTCTCAAGCCTGGCCCCAGAAAGAGCAGCAAGAGCAGGCTCCAGAGCAGAGAACATGAAAGCACAGGTTCACCCAGCTGTGTGGCACTATGGCAGGACATTAGAAGCCCACGGTGTACCAGGGCATGGCCTGGTACTGAGCGGTCTCAGGTCTCTTGCTGAAGGGTCTGGGAAACACCCCCTAACCCCCACACCCCTGCACATGTGGGAGAACATCCATATTGCAAAGCCAGTGTGGTGGTCAGCAAGGGTTGAGCCCAAGGTTCAACCTGAATCTGAGATTGGTTACTTGTTTTCCAGTGGCAGGGAAAGTGGAAGAGGGAAGGGTCTCAGGTTTCCAAGTTAGGTGGGATGGTATCTGATTTCCTTTGACCATCTTCAACCTTTAGAATTCTTTCCTGTTCTTCCCTGTCCTTTCTGTTCCTCTTTACATGTGAGCTTTGGTAATGGGTGAGCATTTCCAAAGCATCCTGTATCACCCGAGGGCAGATCTTTTGAGCCTGGGACAGGGAAGGACTTTTCTTATTCATTTCTGCATCCTTTATAGTGTGAAGGACAAGACCCAGGAAGGAATTTAGAGGTCATGACACATTGACAAGAGAGAGACAAGAAGGGCCTTCTCCTCTGCTCCTCCTGCATTGGCTGGGCTCTGCCATAGACCCTATCAGATAGATAGGTATCAATGCCATTAGCAGTAGACCCTATTAAATAGGTATTTTTGCCATTAGCACACCCATTTTCTAGGGAGAAAAACAAACACTTGGGTTGAAAAACTTGCACAGAAGCTAATAGGACTGGACATCGGCTGAGTTGAAGCCCAGAAGCTAGACATCAGTTCCGAAGCTTTCAATCCCTGGGCCAGACTTATTCTCTTGAAAAAGAACAGAAATTGCTAGAATGTTTGTGTTAGGAATATTGTGCAAAGACCTTGGCGGATTCCATGGTGGGCGAGAGACAAACATGCCAGGCAGATAGAGCCTAAGTAAGAAAGAAGTTTTATTAGAAAGGGAAGGGAATGGAGAAAGGGAAGGGAGAAGGGGGAGAGGAGAGAGAGAGGGAGAGAGGGGGGAAGAGAAAAGAGGGAGGCAGGAAAAGGCCTATCTGCCCCCTCAGAGGAACAGCGGAAAGAGAACAGAAGTGGGTGGTTTTTCTTTTAAAGGGTCCTTTGCATCTGCGTGCAGATTACATAGTGACATAGCGGCCGTAGGACCCTGGGCTGCCCAGGGTCCTGCCTGAGTGCATTCTGTCAGGTACCAGGGGCCAGGCCAGTATAATGCCTGAATCCTTACAGTTTGTGCCCTTTTTCTGTTGTGTCTCACAGCAACAAAACCAACATGAAGAATGACTTCCAGTTACCCTGCCAGTATTCTCAGAAGCTCAAAAGCTTCTCCTGCCAGGTGGAAATTCTAGAGGGTGACAAAATTTACCACGTAGTGTCACTGTGCGTCTCAAACAGTGTGGGAAGCAAGTCCAGTGCCAACGTTGCATTTCAGAGCTTAAACATGGGTAAGCAAGTCCCAGAGCCCCCAGCTGCTTCCTTCTCTTGCCGGTGTGTTCCTGATTTACTCCTGGGAGAGACTGGAAGGTGTGCAGAGGGGCTTGGGAGTTGGGTCTTTTGAGGCATTGCTGACAAGTGGATGGGGGTCTTCTCAAGATGAACATGGGGTACTGAGGTGTAATCCAGTGAATGAGTCCTCACCTACCAGCTGCAAAGCCCTGAGTCCCATTCCTACTAACTAAATAAGATTTAAGCATTTCTGGGGGGTGGTGTATACCTGGGGGTGGGTGTCTGCAGAGCCTTGGAGGGTATATGCTTGGTGCTGCATAGAAGCCCTGTTTCCTCTCCACAGTGAAGCCTGACCCACCTATGAATCTTGTGGTGTCGGCCATACCTGGAAAGCCTCGATGGCTTAAGGTCAGCTGGCAAGACCCCGAGTCCTGGGACTCAAGTTTCTACATGTTGGAGTTTGAGCTTCGATACCGACCTGTATGGTCAAAGTCATTCACAGTGTGGCTGGTAATTCATTTCCTTTTTGGGGGGGTAGGGGGAGGACAAAGTTTCACCTGGTAGTATCCTTGAACTCATGACAATGCTCCTGCCTTAACTTCTTAAGTTCCTAAGTGCTGTAATTACTAAAGTGAGCCTCTATGCATAGATCAAAACTATTTCTAAACAGAAAAATGCCCCCTAGACCCTTGGGGGAAGTAGGACACTAGAAAAGAAGTGGGTTCTGGGTCTAGCTTTGTACCTTTCCACCCTTCATAGTCTTGGGCGAGCCATTTAATTTTAGGGGTCTTGGCTGTGCCTTTATAAACTGAGACTAATAATGACAGGCCAGACGCCCTCTGACTGGCCTGCTTGTGAGAATAACAGCATAAGGACAGTGCTGGGCTCTATGTAAAGCAAGTATCACAGCTTGTAGGCTTCTATAACCAGGGGCTTATTCCGTGTGGCTAAGAACAACTCCATCTCTCTCACCCTCCTGGGTGATGTAAGCCTGTCTGCCAAGTGGAGAGCAGGGTGGTCAAGGGTGCCCTCTCGCTGTAGCATTGCCCCAGCAGGGCCACTGGAACTCACTGTGTCTCTGTTCTCAGCTCCCGGTGGTCCAGCATGAGTGCATCATCCGTGATGCCTTACGAGGAGTGGAGCATGTGGTTCAGCTCCGTGGAAGGGAGGAGTTTGGGACTGGCCAGTGGAGCGAGTGGTCCCCGGAGGTCACGGGCACTCCTTGGATAGGTACCTGGGTCTATGTGGAGGGAGGTTGGGACACATCTCAGCTTATATCAGCAGTCTAGTACTGTATGGCAAGCCATGCTAAACCCTGTTCCCCCCATGTCATTTCATTGAAAGAGTACTTCATTTACTCCAGGTAGGCCTAGAACTTACTATATAGTCAAGAAAACCTTGAATTTCTGATTCTCTGGCCTCCATCTCCCAAGCACTGTGTGCCACAGTTCCTTGCTCTATTTGCCCAAGTCTGGCAGCTTGTCTGTGTGTCTTACCTGAATCACTAATGCTGCTGCTCTCAGACCTGGAGGGTCAAAGTCTAGCTGCACTGTGTGCTTGGTGGAGCTCACTGGAGTCTGGGCCCTTTTCTCCTTCCTTCTTCCTTCCTTCTAGTAAGTGAGCCTCAGTTGAGGGCAGAAGAATGGGAGGATCTCCAAAGAATTATAGGTGTGGTTAATCGACTGAGGCTATTTATCTTGAGGAAATGACAAAGTGGTAATGTTTTGGGGGGAATTATTGAAATCTCCCAAAGCATGTATATGAGTCACCTCTCACTGCTAATGACAAAAAGTCTGAAGGAGTCACCTTAGGAGAAGATTCTTTTGACTCAGGGTTTCAGAAGGCTGGGCCAATTGGCTTGTTCTATTTGTTGCTTTGAGTCTGAGGTGGGGCAGATCTGAGCTGCCAACCTGTGGGCAGGGAAACAGAGAGCAGGAGAAACAGACTAGGACAAGATGTTTTCTTCAAGGGTGTACCTGGTAACCTGCTTTCTCCAATTAGACCCCACCTCTCAGTATATCAAATTATGATTCCAAGCCAGGTGTGATGGTGCACACCTTTAATCCCAGCACTCAGGAGGTAGAGGCAGGTGGATCTCTGAGTTTGAAGCCAGCCTGGTCTTCAGAGTGAGTTCTAGGACAGCTGGTGCTACATAGTAAGACCCTGTCTTCAACAACAATAATAACTTGAAGAGAGGTTAAATCAGAGGTGAGGCCTACAGCATTCAGGTGTTGGGTATATTTCATATCCAGACCTAAAAACATGCTTCTGATAAAACAGATAAGAAGATAATAAGTTCAGCAGTTTGTTTTGCTTTGGGCTCAATAGGTAACCCAAGGTGGTCCCAAACTCAGACTTGGCCTCCCAATTTGAGAGATTACAGGCATATGCCACCACTCCCATCTTCTGAAATTTTCATCAATTAATACATGTCCATGGGAAAGAAGTACCAACGGATTCCTGACTCTGTCCATCAGCTGGTGCCCACCTTCCTGGACTAGTTCCGTTGGGAGTGCTTCTACTTCCGCTAATGTCCTTCTTAACTTCTCAAACTTAACTTCTCTTTTCTGCTCCCTGATAAAAACCCATTTGAGATGTTATCTACTGTGAAGGGTTAAGATTTAGTGGGTTTAAAGGTGGGAATCTCCCTTACCATAATGGGGGGGGGAGGGAGGGAAGAGAGACCACTCTATTCTTACATGGATGCTTCCGGCCTCCCTTGAGATGCAGAGTCCGTCACCCCTGGTAGCAGGGCATCTCATTGTCCTTAGCATTTACTCTAGGACAGCGTCCAGGCTCACTTTGGGGTTACATCTCCCCAGTCCTGCTGAACCACGCTCATCATGCTTACATTTAAGCCAGAAAACTTCTGTCCTCAATGTTGCTGATTAGCAATTTTCCATCATGGCGCCCACCCTACTACCATTGTCAACACTCCCTTACTCCCTACCCCACCTTGTTGGAAAAGAGTTAGGTCTAGTCTCTCTTCCCTACAAAAGACCTGGTCCTATACCAGTTGTCACGGCTCTTTTTGAACAAAGCTTGCCTTCTGTTTTCAAAGACAGGGTTTCTCTGTGTAACACCCTAGCTGTCCTGGAATTTGCTTTGTAGATCAGGCTGTCCTTGAACTCCGAGATCCGCTTGCCTCTGCCTCCCAAACTCTGGGACTAAAGTGTGCGCCACCACTGTCCAGCCCTGACATATCTCTTTTGTGAATGTGGGGCACAATGTAGTCTTTCTTAGTCATTTTGTGAGGTTAGTAGCTTATGACATCCTCACACAGGTCCACAAGATGTTTTACCTTCTGTCTCTACAGCTTCCTTTGAGACAGTCTCATGTGACCCAAGTTAATCTTGAACTCTCTTTGTAGCTCAGGATGGTGTTGGACTTCTTATTCTCTTGCTTCTATGTCCAGAGTGCTGGGATCACAAGTGTGCATCACCATACCTGGTTCAGATGGTGCTGGGTGTCGAATGCAGGGCCTCATGTATGCTAGACAAGAACACTACCAACTATGCTACACTCCCTGCCCAGCCATGAACTTTAGATGGTCATAAACTGCTTTAGGCTAGGTGTGTTGATGCACGCCTTTAATCCCAGCATTTAGGAGGCGGAGGCAGGTGGATCTCTATGAGTTTGAGGCCAGCCTGATCTACAGAGAGAGTTTCAGAACAGCCAAGGCTACCCAGAGAAACCATCTCAGGGACAAAAAAAAAAAAAAAAAGAAAAAGAATTTCTGTTTGGGGGCCTGGAGGTTACTCAGTGGTTAGGAGCTTTTTCTTTTCTAGAGAAGCCCAGTTTGCTTCCCAATGCCCACATCTGGTGGCTAATAACCACATGAACACCAGCTCCCTCTTCTGGATTCTGTACAACATGGACACACACACACACACACACACTTTTTTCAATAACACTGACCCCTCTTGTTTTCTTTGCTGTGCTAGGAGACTCAGGGCTTTATATCTGCCACTGCTTTACATCCCCAGCCCAGTCCAAAAACAGCTTCTTCAAAAATATTTTTGGCTACCAGTGGTGGAGGCAGAAGCGTTCTGATCTACATAATGAGATCCTATTTCAAAACAAACAACTACAACAAAAACCCAAAATTGTTTTTGATTGTGGTACAATGTGAATGACATAAAATTTACTTAAAAAAAACTCTTTTGCAGATTTTTGAGGTAGGGCCTCATTATGTATTCTTAGGCTGTCCTGAATTCTGGTTTTACATCAGTTCCCGAGTACTAGGATTACAGGCAGGCACCCCCACCCCTTGTTATTATAAGTGTGTGTGTGTGTGTGTGTGTGTGTGTGTGTAGTGCAGTGCAGGCACAGGCCAGAGGTCAACCTGCTGGGTGGTGCCTTGTGTACTGTCCCCCCTCCGTTTTTGTTATAAGCGTTCCCACTGAGCCTTTGCTTTTAACTAACATAAGTTCTGGGGATTGAACTCAGGCCCTCAGGCTTGCAAGGCCAGCCCTGATTTTCACTATTGTTAGTGGTGATAAGTACATTCACAATGCCGTGACCCTTCTCCACCCATCTCCAGAACCTTTGCATCTTGCAGAATTGGAATCCCACACCCTTAAACAGTCACTTCCTATTCTCCTCCCTCTTCCCTGGCTCCTGGCAATGTGCATTCTACTTTCTGTTTCTGAATTTGACTGTTTTAAACCCTCCAAGTAGGTGGGGTTGTACGGAAACGTTTGTGTCTGACTTTTCTCACTCAGCGCAGTGTCTTCACGGTCCATTCAAGCTGGGGTGTGGACCAGCATTTCCTTCCTGGTGGAGACCGGGGAGGGAGCATCTTGTTGTACACAAACATCATGCTCTATTTCTCTGAATTTGACTGTAGACACTTGAGCTGCCTCTGCCTTTTGATATGTGACTGACACTGCTGGCTACTTGAATTTAGTTCTGTGACTGCTTACAGTGTCACATGGCAACTATGGTTTTAGTGTTTAAGGACTGGCTACACAGCTTTCTGTAGTGGCTGTTCCATTTTAGGTTACTTGAGAGTTCACAAAGGTTTCTCCACTCTTTTTGAGACAGGGTATAACTCTTTTGGACATAGAATGCCTGATGTAGACCAGGCTGGCCTCAAACTCATAGAGATCCACCTACCTCTGCCTCCCAAGAGCTGGGATGAAAAACCTTCCATCCCTACCCCCTCATGTGTGTGTGTGTGTGTGTGTGTGTGTGTGTGTGTGTGTATTTGCCATTCTGATTTGTTTTGTTGGGGCAGGGCCTACAAGCATGCACCACTACACTCCACTGTTTGTCTCCTTTAGAGAAATGTCTGTTCAGGCAGAAAGAACAGCATTATGTGAGCCCAGCATTGTCCTGGATGACCCTACTCTGCCCTTGGGAGTGACTACAGGAAGCCTCCCTGTACACTCTGCTCTCTGAACTCTCCTGGGGTTCCTCGAGGACCTACATCCGTTTGAGCTGCTCCCACTTTCAGCCTATTGGCTGCCTGGGATGGTTTGTGGGTTCCTCACCCTGTTTAGTCTCTCAGCCTTGCATCTCTGTCCAGGTTGTATGTCGGGGTGGAGACCACCTGGGCATAGTCTTGGACTTTACAGCTTTGGACTCCATGCATGAGTGACCGTATGAGCTCATACAGAACCCTTGCCTCCTCACACAGGTCAGAGAGTGAGCTCCCGTCCTGGGCAGGGTGGTGGAGAGGCAGCTTAACCAGGCAGTATGTGTTAAGAGAGAAGCCTCTGCAATCCTGCCCTGTGGGCACAGCAGAGGGACTCAGATGCTTCTCAGGCAAGAGGCTAAGGTTGGAAATTGGCAATTGGTTTTGTACAATGAGACAGAGGCCCCCTCATGGTGCATAGAGCTCCTTGGCTGCTGGACTGCACTGATGCATTAGATACTGTATTTTGGTGGCTTCCAGACTGCTAGGACTTTTAGTTCTCCAGCTCCCAACAAAAGGAAGCCCCCCCCCCAAACCGGGCGTTGGTGGTGCATGCCTTTAACCCCAGCACTTGAGAGGCAGAGGCAGGCGGATCTCTGTGAGTTCGAGGCCAGCCTGGTTTCCAGAGCGAGTGCCAGGATAGGCTCCAAAACAACACAGAGAAACCCTGTCTCGAAAAACCAAAAAAAAGAAAACAAAACAAAAACAAAAACAAAAAAAGTCATGGGAGGCACATTGTACGTGGAATCAGGTTGGATATTTTTGTCAAAGGTGATAAGCATCTTGGGGTCTTGTCTTGTCCTCTGTGAAG